CCGGGGCGCAGCCGTCGGGAGCGCGGCCCCGGCTCCTCCGGCACCAGCCCCGCACCGCGACCGGTCCCGACCCGCGCGCCGCGCCGCCTTCCCCTTGCGCTCCTCTGTCTCCAGCCGGAGGTGACTTTCGCGTCTTAGGTGACTTAGGTGAAGTCCAGACGGATTTCTCACCATGTTTGGCTTTCTTCGAACCCCGCGCGCGCACACGTCCGAAGCGTCAGCGCAGATTCCTCGGTGGACTCAACCTTTGGGCTAATTCTTTACAGATAAAGTCATCTCAGAGCCCAAAGTGTGTCAGGTCACTGCCATTGTCAGTTTCTGAGGCTGTCCGCGCCCTCTTAGCCTCATTTTAATGGGAATACTCGCTGTGAGCGTGATTTGTTTTCCGCCTTTGATAAGTAACCAACTCCCACTGCTATCTCGGTTCTCCTTTACTAGCGAGCAGTAGTTTTTTGTTTTCTTTATTCACCTCCTCGAAAAAGACAATTAAAACGGTTAGGCCTAAAATTAGACTACAAGGAGCTGTATTCTGGATTACGGTTGTGCGCGTTACGTTTTTCCCCTGCTCTGTGGAACTCTTCCGCTCTTATAAGCAAGCAGGATATTGAAATGTACAAGAATTTGCTTTGGGGGTTTTACTTTTGTAGAGTTGTCCAAAAGAGTAACGTCAAGTGAAGTTAGATTCGGATGAAGACGGTGGATAGTAATTTTTAAAGCAAGTTTAAACTTGTCAAGCTCTGGTGCATTTGTAAAACATTGGCGCTCGCCTCTACGTATCTGCTGCTCTCTGTATATATTATAGGTGTACAAGTGAAAGCCTGTTTGATATTGTTAGGGATATTGATTTGAGGTAACTTTTAATCATTCATTCTTAGCTTTTAAATCTTTTTAGCTATTAATTAGCCAAGAACACTGATTTACATTTACATTATAGAAACGGAAGCTAATGTAGTTGACCTGTAATATGTGTAGGTCTTTAACTTTCAGATTTTGGTGAAGGAGGTTGACCTAAATTTGGTGTATTTTTGTCTTTGCACTAAATATGTCCATTGTTACCTTTACTTCTAACCAGCTGTGCGCAAAAATGGCATAGTAGTACTCAGTTTGAATGCTGTCGTCATTTGCTGTTAATAATTGTTCCTAACTTAAAATAGGATGTCTTGGTGAGCTGAGGAATTAAGGTGTAGGAATGTTGGAGTATGAAACTTTGTCTATTGATGTCAGCTTCTCTGCCATTTTTTTTCTTTTTTAAGATAGGTCCTCACTGTGTTTTTTTAGGCTGACCTCAAACTCTTCTGGGCTCACGTGATCCTCATGTCTCAGCCTCCTCTGGGCTGGGATTACAGGTGTACACTACTAAGCCCGGCAAGCAGATATTTTTAAAGGAAGAGTTCCTGGGTATTTCACTTCCCTTAGTGACTTGATTCCAGATTTGCCATCATCCACACATCGTCAGGACTTTGTGACATTTAATACACATGCTCCAAGCTCTAATTCATAAAGTAAGGGTAAGTTTGTAGTGGGTCTCTATCTGCTAAAATGAATGAGGGTTCCAGTGGTACTGTGATCTTTATAATAGGCTGGTTTCCAAGTAGATATGATTAACAGTAGTTTGTATTTGTGTTCAATTATATGTTTTAAAAGAGGGAGCTTAGGACTTGTTCTGGTAGCTAAGGATAAACTTTCAATTACATTTTTTTTAAATTTTTTTTTTTTAGTTAGAGAATTTGTGTAAGTAACCAAGGATAAAATGACTAGATACATGAAATCTTTCCTATCTTTAACCTATCAGTACTGGTTATTACAATAATGTTCACACGTATATGTTTCTTTGGACCCCCCCCCCCGAATTTTCTATTTTTTGATTAATATTGGGCCATGTGTGAAACTTAAGTCTTCAAGGTTTTGATCAATTTGTTCTCAAAAGCCCTTTTAGTTAGAGTGTACTAATTTCGGATTAATTAAAGAAGATAAATTACTTGCAGATTGTGCTTCTGGGGTCTACTGTTTCCTTTTTTTCCCAAAGAAGCAGCTAGAGCAGGGAAATAATATCCTCCAATACTGATTGTTGTGTGACCAGAACTGAGTATCACTGACTTACTTCATTTATTTATTTATTTGTGTGTGTGTGTGTGTGTGTGTGTGTGGCCAGCTCAGCCCACCAGGGGGCGGGGCTGGCTGGCATGTAGTGCTGTGCTTTGCTAAGCTTGTTCTAAGTAGGTGCTTTAGACCACTGAGCCATCTCACCAGCCCACTGACTTATTTCTTAGGTTACTGGTTAGATGTAGTGAGTCTGAACTGATTCAGGATTTCAGAGTTGTAGCCTATTACCTATATGATATATTAGTTCTTTTTTATTTCAAATAAATATTCATTATTGTAGTTGAGTCTTTCACAAGTACATTAGTTCTTATTCCATGCTTAGAGCTAAAGACCTGGGTTGGAATCTTGTCCCTTTCATTTGAAGGGCAATACACACATTCTTTTCAAAACTTAATTTTCTCGTGTGTAAGATAGAAATAATAGCAACAAACAATACCAATTTTATAGAATTATTTTTATTTTATTTATTTATTTATTTTTTTGGTACCAGGTATCCAACTCAGGACCTTGCACTTGCCAGACAGGCACTTATGCTGCTGAGCTATCTTCCTGGTCTCAGCAATACCAGCTTAATAGGGCTAAGTGCTTACGTGCTTAACTTTAAAACTTTAGCTGGTAGTCTGATGTTTTTGTTTTTGAGACATGGTCTCACTATGCGGTTCAGGTTGGCCTTGAGCTCACTTTGTAGTCCAGACTGGTCTTGAATTTGCAGTGATTCTCCTGCTTCAGCCTCCCAAGTGCTGGGATTATAGGCATTCACCACCACATAAGGCAATAGTTTAATCTTAAATACTACGGTATGTGCACAGATATACTCTTTTTTTTTATTATTACTTATGTATTTGGTACAGGATCTCACTGTGCAACTCAGACTTGTAGTGATCCTACGAGTGTTAGCCACCTCAGTGCTGGGATTATAGGCTGGGATTACAGGTGTGCGCCACCATGTCTGAACTCTGGTGGCCAGCTTGGTGCACCCATGGCATGTGGTGCTAGGAATAGAACACAAATATGCTCTTACATTTAAATTTAAAATTGTTTTCAAAAGAAAGTTGGGGGCTGGGGAGATAGCTCAGTAGAATAAGTGCTTGCCTGGCAAATGCAGGGTCCTGGTTCAATCCCCAGTACCGCCCCCCCAAAAAAGAAAGAAAGTTGGAATCATGGAACCAAATTTCTGAGGCTAAAGTTAAAATTAAAACTTATTTTTCAGAATAAAATACAAAATCATTCAGCTTTTGAAATATGAGTTTTTTAGTAGTTTAAAGGCGGGTTGTGGTGGTACATGCCTGTCTGTAATCCCAGTACTTGGGAAGCTGAGGCAGGAAGATCACCGTAAACTGAGGCCCACTTGGGCTACAAAGTGAGTTCAAGGCCAGCCTGAATTTCATAGTGAAACCCTGCCTTAACAAGGCAAAAAAAAAAAAAAAAAAAAAAAAAACTAGTTGAAACCTACAGTGGCTATATTAATGTCAGACAAAGCTGACTTCAGAGCAAAGAGTTCTGAAATAGGACAAAAATTATCGTAGTTTTAT